CACGTGACCGGGGTGAATCTCCTTATGTAACAGCTGACGACCTTGAGGGGTCAATGACCGCCATGAAGGTCAGGCTTGGCAAACAGCGGACAAATCTAGGCACTCGCGCTAGACGGTATACATAGTGATACGATAGTGGAAACCGAGAAAAACAAGGCTCTGATTTCATTCTCAGCAACCCGAGCGAAAGCTATACCAGGAAACGGAGTGTCTGCAAAAGAGAGATCTTTGGATAATAAAAAACGAAATTCAATCCCCTCGAACCACCCCCAAAATAGCCCCAGGTCACGACCCTAACACGTGTTCAACGTAGCCTAGATACCAGACTTTGTCAGGGGTGTAAACAGGCCAGCTCCTCAGCTCCAGGGCCAACATAATGTATTACCCCACGAAATTTTACCATAGACCCCTGAATTACACAACGTTTATATAATTTATCAAGTTGCATAATTTCTCAGGGTCTAGTTCGGGGTGGGCGTGAGGAATTGGGAGGGGGTATGCTGGCCCTAGAGTTAACATGGAGTTAAGTAGCTGTCCTATAGACCCTTGGAACAGTCTGCCACCCAGGCTATTTCGATCTTGACTGTGAAAACAAGCCGGCCGTCGGCAGTATACATAAAACAACCAACGGCACAGTCTAAATATACCAGCGGTCTAGGCTGCGATACTGCTTCTAGGTCCTTCTATTAGTCTCTAACAGGTCTCACTGAGGACTTCACTGATGCTAGAAATTGGCCAAATTTGAGTGGATGATGAAAAACACTTGTCAAGAAATGTACGTTTGCCAACAATCTGTGCCGTGCACTATAGCTAATACGTCGCGTCTGTACATGAATAGGGAAGTGATGTAATATTTATTCAGGCCCCGAGACACACGACTAATATTCTTGTGGTTTGGGGGGAACAAACTCAGACAAAATTTTACGGATAGAATTCTCTAGAAACTAACCTCTTCCAGACCTCTTGCTGGATTGGAAAAAAGTTGATATTGGTCGAAATAGCCCCTACCGTATCTCACCAGAATTTTGTAGGGGAGAAGTGCTCCCAAATCCGTTGATGTCGCGAAAAAAATTTGTTTTTTCATGAAAATACTAAGAGAAAACCCTTACTTTGAATATTTTGCGACAGGTGCTAGGATTTTGGGGAGAGGGCCTTGCTTCATTGCTTGGGGAGAGCTCTGGACTGCCACGTATTTCATTGTTAGATAGACAAGTGAGAATTCTTGGCTGAGATTTCGGTCGGGAGTCCTGCCAGGATGACTGCAGGCGCGGATGTCGTAACTTTGACCGTCTGTGTTCCCTTAGCCTGGTAGCCAGACCACCGTACGCTCAGCGGTAGCTCTACGGCGCTGAAAGTGTTGCCCGCCCGCCCAGGGCCTTTAGCACACACCGGTTTATTATTATTTTTTTACGGGGATGGTTTCAACATCACTTCGCATGATTTAGACAGGCAGGCTGGAAAGATATTCTTGGAAAGACAGCATATCTGTCTGTATCTGTATCTGTATAGCCTTCGACGTATTATAACACACAAGCTTCGCAGGCACGCGGCGCGGCGGCAGCTGGCTACACTACATCAGTAATATCAGGAGCTAGAAACCTAATAAGATGCTAAGTAGAACTGTGGCCGGTAAAACACCTCTAAGCCGGCCTGGTTTTTCTACTGGCTCCCCTGCCATCTCATCTGTCTTTTTGGCCGATTTCTACTCTTTCCAGCCGCTTCCCAGCAGGTTTAATAGGCTGTTCTGGCGGCACCTGTGTGCATATTAATTTTTTTGGTACAGTTCGCTGACCGGCGCTCAGGCGGCCAGTGCACTCAGTCCAGCCGGCAGAAAGGCGCCGAGCGGAGCCCCGCGAGTAGCGAACGCTAGTCTAACTGCCATTCTCCTTTTTTCAATTTCTTACACAGGGCGAGATAGGTACATACATAAGGACTAAAGTATTTTATGTCCTACCTGGGCCGCGATTACGTTCGATACGGGTGTTCCGGCCCGTGTGATAACTAGCGGTACAGCCCGGGGGTTCTGAACGCGTACGGCCCGGCCCTTCCAAATGTTCCATAGACAGATTCGAACGCGTTTCGCCCTAACCGCGTGCAACGCTTCCGAAAATTCGAATGCAAAATTCGGACGTTGGAATTGATGTTGTTGCGTTTTTTTGGATTAGGGACACCAAATTTTTGCTCATTTCGCATTGAAAGGCGCGTTTTCTTGGGTGGGTATGACATAAATAAAATACAACACGGTGTATTCCGCATCACCCTGGGTCCCAGCCCTCCCGCGGATCGGATCACCCTCCGGCCTTCGGCCGTCGGGCGATCCGACGCGCGGTCGGGCTGGTACCTCGGGCGATACGGAATACACCGTGTTGTATTCTATATGTACATCCTTATGATAGCTCCTTCCTCGGTTGCAAAATAAGCTACTTATTCAGAGCAACAATTGGACCGACAAATTTACTAAAAACCTGTACCCAATATTCCTTTTCGGACGAATAGAAACTGCCTTCTTTTTTTTTTTTAGTCTGACTATCATTCTCCATTCTTACACAAGGCGTGATCAGTACACATAAGGACGAAAGTATTGTATATCCTATGTTCTAGCTTCCTATGTTCCCCTTCCTCGATTGTAATATAAGCTAGTTATTCAGAGTAACAGGTGGACCGAAAATTTACTAAAACCTTTACCCAATATTCCTTTTCGGACGAATAGAAACTGCCTTCTTTTTTCCAATTGCCAGCGAGGCTATGCCGTCGCCAAGCCTGCTAACCAAGGCTAAATCCCACGAGCCTATATCCGTCACGACTCCTTGTACCGAGGTTAAGATACATGCCAAACGCCCGCCCCAAAGTCTGGTAAACAGACTAACCCATATCTTTAGTGCCCACCCCAAAGCCTGGTTCCGAGGCTACAATATATGTTACCGCCCACCCCAAAGCCTGGTATGGAGACTAACCCACATCTTTGTTAGCCGCTCCAAATCCTGGTCCCAGCTTAAACTATTGTTATCCCCTCCCCGAAGTCTGGTACCGAGGCTATATACCACAACCCTTGAACCCGAGCCGAAACCTGCAGTAGCAGCGCTAACCATTTGTCAGGGTGCCCGCCCCGAAGCCTGTTAGCGAGGCTACAGCCGCGGGTGCAGTGCCCCTGTGTTGCCGGTCAGTGACCCCAGATCGGCAGCGCCTCACGACTCCACTAGACCGGCTGCACACTGCGCTCCGAAAAACAACCAGGATTTTTCCTCGTGTAACAGTGGGGGGTTTATAGGCGCTACCAACTGACCCGGCCGAGGGGTCTAGACCTTTTCGGCTGAGTGGTTAGAGCGCCGGCATGTGGACTGGTGCTCGGGAGGGTGTGGGTTCGTACCCCGGCCCGCGCCCGGGACCAGGAGGGTTTTTATCTGTTTCTACTCGCTCCTCCTGTTTCTCACACACGTTTTCCAAACCGGGCTATGAAATGATCATCTCTGAGCGGTTTGCTGTGATTTTGGCTCATTTATTTTCGCGAGATTTGTAGAATTTTGTGAATCTGTGTCGTTCCTTTTTTTCGGTAGAATACAGGTGACAAAATGTTTACAATCTTCGAGCTAATAAGTATTTTCGTAAATTCAGCTCGTTTTTTCGGTCCGTTTTCCACATTTTCAAAGATTTAATACCCCTGTTTTTGTGAATCTGATTAATCGTTTTACGCAACAAACATCTATCCTCACTGTCTGTACAGTAACTCAAAACATTTGAGTGGCTCCCACGAGCCTTGTTTTGTGGTGAACATGAAGTAAATTCTAAAACAATCAAAATCTTTCTAGTCGAGCATGTCATGACGTCCGCATCCTGACATGTCGAACAAACAACTGTCATCTTCCAAAGATCTCAAATCAATTCCGCGCAATTAACCAGAACTGTGACGTGGTTAGCGACCTTTAATCGCCGCTTAAAATAGCGCTGAAATTAGAGAATAATTACGTCAAGCAGCACACATAAAACCCGCGGGGCGACAAGCTGGCTTATATCTGACCTATTTCGGTCCAGTGGACGATTTTATCACTCTAACAAGTTCCACATTTTTTGTATCAAACCCTCAAAAAATCTGCACCGATCTCCAGACACGTTTTGAAGCGTTTCTAGTCGCGAAAACGCTGGAAAATAACAAGACTGTCTGAAGTTTTCTTGCCGTCCCCAGTTTGGTTCACGGACGGAAGGTGCAAAATAATCTCCACCAGACTCTTTTGCAGGGTGAATAAATCGTAGAAATCGGCCTAAAAGGGGGGATATAACTTGCCAATTGGCCGGGAAACTCCTCTGGCTAATTGTATCCCCCTTTTAGGCCGATCTGTACGATTTATTCGGCCTGCAAAAGGAGTCTGGTGGAGACTAGAGAGAGAGAAAAACAAGACCGGCAGACCCGGGATTTGGGGAATTCACCGCCTCAGGGAACGGTTTCCATGGGAACGGATCTTTTGTGGTGATCACAACACAAGAGCCGAGAAAGCAGCGAAAACGTCATTATAGACATGGGTGGGACTTGTAGCTCTAACCAAATCTTGTAAGAACGTAAATAACTTATGAAATGAGGAGATTGACTGTACATGCAAGCTATTAAGGGGGGGGGGGGCGCACATGTCAACCCTAAAACGAGGTGACAGCGCTACTGAGAAAGCCTAGCCCGGCTTAAAATAACCAGTAATAATAGGGTAAAAACATGCCACAATGTGACAATACAAGCCTAACCTGCTATTCTCTAGTACCGTCCCAAAGCAACTTACAGTACACCAATACCGTACTAGTGGCGCCATCCTATTATAATTTATCGGAGCTCCCATACGATTTTTGTTCGGTAGCGAGACACTATCATTACGAGAGCGCCGGTATCAAAACTGTTTCAGACTGCACCCAGGCTAGCTAAACCACCGTCAGAACTAGCCGCTTCTAAAAGCTGGCATGTTTTCAGACATCCATCCAAATGCGGGCACAGACATCTATCAGAAAAGATAACAACCTACCGTACACTGAGAAACCACCAATCTCTCAGTAGGCAGCCAGAAAAGTCAGCTATTAATTAAACTCTGCGCGAACTAAAAACAAAATCACAGCCCACGATCTACTAGACCAAAAATTTCCAGCCGCCGAAAATACTCGCTAGCTAGCCGGCTGCACCCCGGATGTTCTGAGCTATACTTGGCTGGAAAACAGCCTTGTAGGGTCGCGTTATGTCATCCCCACTCTCTGAGTCAGCTGCAGGGACATTATAATGATATAGAGCGCTCCCTGCTATGTAACAGCCTGTGATAGCTCTCAGTACATTTGAGTCCCTGTTAGTAGGCATTCAACTACGTTACATCATCTGGTCGTATTCAACAATACAAATTGGTTTAAAAATAGACATAATTCGCTGCAATGGTATATAATCTGAAGACTTGCATCATATTTTGTATTTCTGGGTTGTAGTTCACCCTACGAAAATCGCTGCACGTTTTGTTGTGCAAATAAACAAACCTTCTTTATATAAATAGCAGCGCCTGCTATGAAATATAAACAAGCTATCGCTTCAGAAATCTAATAAGATTGAGCCCACGTCAGGAAGTGGTGTAGAAGAAAGCACACCCCCATACAGACCCCCCAGAAACGCGCGCGAATTATTCATAGCGGTCATTATCATGTTGCAATGTCAGGGTCGACTGAGGACAACAAACCCCGTTCCCTCTCTCTCTCCTACTGCGGGCGGGCAAAACATTCCCGCCGGCGGGAAAAAAACACCCCCGAAAACCCACAATTCGTCCTACCTGTAAAATGGAGATCGTGGCTGCTCCGTAAGAAAGTCCACGGCGTCTGGCGAGGCGAGTTTACCGGCAGGAAAAACAAGGAAAAGTGCCCGGGTAGAACCGACCGAGCGCTCACACAACCGGGTACTGAGCGAGCAGGGAAACTAGGTCGCTGCGCCCGGTGGAACGTTCCAAGTTTCACTCACGGGGGGTGGCTGATCTTTTATTATAATCAATTACTACATCAATATAACCCCGTATTCTACTACTGCAAAATATGTTGTATAATATGTACTTGTAATGTATAAAATAATGTTTTATTGTTATGTTTTATTTAACGAAAGACAAAGATTTTTTAAAACGTCCCCCCCCCGTCAAGGACTGACATGCAGCGGTCCAACGGGAAGATCGACCCGACATTACCGTAGCGTAACTGGCGCGCTGTGATTGGTCGGCATCCACATAATTACATAATCACCAATTCCGTGCCAGCTCATTACCCATTCCGCAACCAGTCCTCGCAAACATGTCACAGATCGCACAACAAACGACACAAACACACAAAAACGCGGGGTCTGTGTGACCTTCCGACGTTCTTTTTTTTTAATCCCAGGTGAGTTAGGGGAAGGTTTCGTGCAGTACGTGCGAGTCTGGCAGGTGAAAATGGCGGATTCCGGCTCAGGCGGGCTGTCGGGTTGACCCTCACGGTGACCTTGCGGCTTATTTATCGTCTGCAGCCCTGGATACGTGTCAGCGGCAGACGACACATCCCTGTTACGTAATGCCAAGAATTCGCGCGGGGGTAACCCAAGGTTGTTCGCCCAAGACACCCTCTCGTGTCGCCTGGAAAAACCTCATCTCCTTTAAGGTCGTTCAATCGATCCTAGAGGGATGGCACGGAATGCCAAAACCGGCCCGCGCGCGCTGATTGGTCCGCTGGGGGGGTCACCCGAGGTCAGACACTCCGCGGGGAGACACCCGATACCCCGGCCCGCTCTATTTTCGCGGTTACGCAATCCGTTGCCATGGCGACGGTGTGGGCCCAGAAGTAGGCCACCTCGGTTCAAGTTGAAGGTGACTGGAATCCGGGATGGCCGGGCAAGGGCGGGAAAAGTGGTGCTTTGGCGGTAAAGCTGGCATAAAAACACCACTTAACAGGCCTCGAAATTAACTTTTCTTCCTATTGTCCCAGCACTGTCCCAAAAATAAATTTCAATTGTCCCGAAGTGAGGATGAAGTGTCCCAACCTGTTTTTTTGGGTATGACTTCAACTTCAAGTCAACTTTAATTTGCGTATGTTCACTCCCAGGCGCACTATAATTGCAGAGTAGACAGACATTTTTTTTTTTTTTTGGGGGGGGGGACTTTTCCGGATCCAAAATCGTGTGCCTGATATACAAACAAAAAAAGGCCTGACATTCTGATTTTGATTATTTTTCTATATTGCCCCAAAAAAGTCCCAAAGTGTCTATTTAGAAAATGTGTCCAAGCCTAAATTTTAGTAGTCAGTGGCCATTGGACCAGCTTTAGTTTCGAGCCCTGCACTAGTGGCGCCAGGACACAAAACGTGCTCAGCATGAGTGATGAGGCCGTTGCCATTGGTTACGTGATTATTCCTTTGATATACGCCGGTGAAGGTTAGACATCCAGGTAATGAGATACACAAGGATGTTGTTGCTCAAGCAACTGGATACATTTCATTTTTCAAAACCTATCCTGTTGCTCCTTGTGTAGTCCTTTGATGATTTGCTTGGTGATAGTTGTTGTAATGTACGTGTAAATGTTTGTCTTGTCAGCAGGGCAAGCCCTTAATAATATCCGCATGGCTAGTTGGGCTGCCCTGGCTGTACAAATTGTCTTTTACAGCCAAACAAATAAATAAATAGTTAACGTTTTTGAGGCATCAAAAAGGACGTCGATGACGGATGACAATTCTTAAGGTCAGCTACAAACCACAAGATATAAATACAAAATGAATTTTAAAATTCTGCTTACTAAATTATAAGGGCTAACATCATATCAGTAAATCTGTAATGACAATCAGGTTAAAAATAAAAACATAAAAAAAGTCTAGTTTCTCCTGTCTAGTTATCCTTGATTTTTATTTTGTTATAACCAAATTTAAAACTGACAATTAGTATTTTTCGTGCTGTATTCTAAACTTTGTACTATTAGCTCATGCCTATATTTGGTCATGAGGGACTCAGAATCAATCGGTCCACAGGTCACTTTTCGCGGGGTTACAAAAGAGAGGGCAAAGGTCAATGACAAACAAAGGTATAGAATACATGGTTGAAGTCCTTTTGACTCTTAAGCAAAGGATGGATCCTAGACCCTTACCCCTAAACTCAAATTTTAATCGTTGTCTCTTCAGATATATACGTGTGTGTCTAAAGCTACGACAAGGCGCGTTAAAGAGCCCAACACACTTATCAAGAAGAGTAGGGGTGACTTGGTGTGGTTGTCTACATGGCATCTCGAGTCATAGCGAAGGCGCATCCTACAACTAGCTGTATACTTGCAAAAGCATCATACTTCAATTGACTGCTGTATTATTATTTGTTTTGCTAAAAGAACCCACCACGCTTATGTTCAAAGAATTTATTTGAAGCCAACTTCTAAACATTTGCGAGCCACAATTCACTTTTTCCGCATATGTATATTCTACGTTTGATTTCTAGCGTGTCCTGTAATTCTGTGAAAAAAAAACACAGGAAGAATAGCTCAAATTATTTGTTGAAAAATCGTTGAAGTTAATTGTACATGTGTATCTGAATAAGCTCAAAACGCAAATTATCGATCGACCATAGGAAACGCACCACAGTTTGCCCCATCGGGACACAGTACTGGCACTCCATTCATAAGAGTGGGTCCCCCCCCCCCCTCTCACACACACACACAGTGAAGCACCCTTAAAAAACGTAACAAACAGAACACTTCACATGTTACCAACAGCGAACGGCCCTCACCTTCTATAGTCTCTATTTCACTACACACTAGCAACGCAGGGTCAAAAACGCTCAAATTTACTAGTTTGCCGCAAACTGTACTCCTTAGCGGACCAAATCCTGCAGTTAGATGTGCAAAGTTTGTGCAGGTCGTTTAGTGTAAAATAGCTAGCTGCCGCCGCGCCGCGTGCCTGTGAAGCTGGTGTGTTACGCCGAATTAAGGACGGTTATATCGGCTATACAGATAAAGATACAGGACTCCAAATCCTGTTCCAGCCAGATAAAAACTTGTAGCTTCCAAAGTACGAACGGGGACGGTGAACACCAGAGTTTGGACCCTCGGATTTTGGCCTGGTTTTTACGCAATTCGGTTTAATTTCCATCACAATCAGAACGTCGGTCCAGTTTCTGTGACAAGTAGGCTTCAACTTTTACATAGTCCCTCCAGAAGTGGGATTGTGGGAGTTATAATTCAACCGAATTGCACAACCTGGCAGAAACTAGGCCGACATCCGAGGGTCCAAACTTAAAAAAACAGTAACAGAACCTTGCAGGGTCCAAACTTTAAAAAAAACAGTAATGAATACAAATAAAAGGACACAGACAAAGTGACTGTGAACTCAAGTTAGACACTGATTATATTCTCGCAGCCACTTTTACAATGAGAAATAGCGGTATTTTACAAGTTTGAAAAAGTGTGGATTCATAAGAGACCATAGTAGTAGTAGTGGAAGCGTGAGTTAAAACTTTGGTAGACATCATCCCCGTTCATACAAGCTACGACATTTGGATCTGGTTTTTAGAACATGGTTTTGAGTTGATCCTAGATCGTGCTAAAGATGGAATGGTCTGCAAGGTTCTAACAACACACTGGAGCTGGAGAAGTACTGAAGAGAAACTACAGAAATGCATTGAAATAACTCGTACAATCACAGCAAGTTATTGTCAGTAACTCGCACAATCCCACTTCTGGAGACACTATATAAAACTTGAAGCCCACTTGTCACAGAAACTGGACCGACGTTCTGATTGTGATGGGGATTACTATATAGTTTCTTTTCAGTACTTCGCCAGTGTGTTGTTAGAACCTTGCAGACTATTCCATCTTTAGCACGATCTAGGATCAACTCAAAATCATGTTCTAAAAACCCAGATCCAAATGTCGTAGCTTGTATGAACGGGGATGATGCCTACCAAAGTTTTGACTCACGCTTCAACCACTACGGTCTCTTATGAATCCACACCTTTTCAAACTTGTAAAATACCGTTATTTTTCATTGTAAAAGTGGCTGCGAGAACATAAGTTGTGTCTAACTTGAGTTCGCAGTCA